CCCCCAGCCTGTCTCCGCCGCTTAAAGGGTAACCGGCGGTTGGTGGGATCCAAGCCCGGGATGCCTGAAAGGCATCCCAATCCCACCACCCTCCCCCCGCAGCTTGGATCCGAGCCGCAGTGGCTACCCCAGCCATGGCCGGACTCTAGGGAGTCCAGCCATGGCTGAGGTAGCCGCCATGGGTTAGATCCAAGCCGCGGGGGGGAGAGAGAAAACCGGATAATCCATTCCAATTGGAACGGATTAACCGGTTTTCAATGCATTCCTATGGGAAATGGTGCTTCACATAACGATGTTTTCACATAACGTTTTTTTTTCTGGAACCAATTAACATCGTTATGCGAGGCACCACTGTATATGGAAGAAAGCTGTAATGTGAAAATATCAGGAATGGGCACTGGTGGGGGTGAGGAGAGATGATATGCCACTGTTGTAAGTGCAGTAGTCTATGCTAAAGTAACAAGACAAAGCTGTCTAATCCTGAAAGGTAGCTTTAGGGATCTTTAAACAGATATTTTAAACCAAATGATTATAACAGGAGCACATATTCTATTCACCACACCTTAATGTCTGGGCTGTTGCCTTATCCTCTGAGGATCAATAGCATAGGTGCAAATAGCAATGCTTTCAATAAAGTCTATTAATATTATTTGAGGAGAACAAAGATGTAGATTTAAGTTTAACTAAAATGGGAGATATAAAATGGGGCTTTCTTAGTAGGCCACATTGTGTGTTTTTTAACATTTACTAAGATATTTATACCTTGTCTTAAATGAAAGGATCTCAGGGCAGATTACAGACAATAAAACAATTGAAAACAAGCAGTAACCTTATTTAAAAGAATTTGGAACAATTTAAACAATTCAAATAATTCCAAAAATGAAAAGTTAAAGCCACATAACCACATGCACTGTAACAGATCTCCATAACCAGGTTATACCACAATCCCTTGTCCAAAAAACTTTGAGGAAGAGACATGTTTTAATTTCATGCCAAAATGAAGCCCATGCTGGCATTAATCAGAGGGAGAGCATTCCTGAACCAGGGTGTCTCAGCAGCAGAGAAGATATTCTCCCATAGCTTCACATAATAGATGCTAACAGAACTGATTCACAAAGGAGGGCCTCCATAACAGATCTCAATGCTAATGCAGGCGTATGCCAGCATGTATATAGAGAACTGCTCCTTCAACATCAAGGCTGTAGTTACCCAGGCAATTTGAATCGATTTCTGTTCAGACATCTTTAAAATTCAAGGTTCAAGTCACACAGTATTTAAACCGGCAGCCACGTTCACATACACTGAATGGAAATCGCTTTATTTCTGGTGATTTAAACACGTTTTGACATCTACACTGCTAAAATCGACTCATTTCCTTTCTGTTTTAAGAGCATGTTGTTCTAAAGATTTTGATTTTATTTTTTTTAAGTAAATGATACATTGTTAAATCGAGTGTCTAGGAGCTGCCGCCTGGTGTCATAATAGTCGGTAGAAACCCTGGGGGAAACACCAGAGAGGTGACGCCAGCCAATTAATGATGAAAAATTAGAATGGACAGGAGGCTTCCAGCTCCTTTGCGGGACAATGGTCCGGGTGCATGGACCATCCTCTATCTCCAAGCATTCCCGCTGTACACCTGCTCTGCACTCGCTGGTCTTTTGCTGCTCGGCCAGCTACTTCATTGGCAGAACGTAGAGAATGGGACAGTTGGTTGTATTGCCGAATGTGCTGATGAAGTGATGCAGCAATAGACATTTTAAGAAATAATTTTTTAAAAAGTTAAAACAGAAAAACAGTGGTGCACCTGCGACCCAAAATCCAGACAGGCAGAAATTAAAACAGCAGTGTTCACATTTACAAAACTTCATTGAATTGAATCAATTTTTAGAAACAAGGTATTTAAAAACCCCTGCCAGCCAGTTGAAAAAACTTGATTGTGGCCCATATAAATTGATTTCACACTTGTGTTGTGTGAATGATAAAATCTAAATTGATTTAAATGATGCTTATATTTGGTTATTATTGCCAGTGTGGCTGCAGCCTTATTTAGGATTTTAAACTTTTAGATCTTTCCACTGTTCCCAAAGTACAAAGACTCATCAGGCAGGTACAGTAAGCATTTACAACAGTCATAGAACAAATGAATGGATGGTTCCTTATTTGACTCTGCATTATTTTTCCACAAATTGGAGGCTATACAGTCACCATGGCATGGAAACAGCTAGCTTTGAAGGCAGGAGTAAAACCCAGAATTTGCAAAGCAACATTTAAAAAAGACTCAATTCAAAACACACAAATACCACATCAAATAACAAAAATCAAACCATAAACTGACTGAACCTCACAGAATATTTGCATTCAATTTATCGAAAGTGGCAGCCTGTGCAATTCATATTATTTCCTCTGCTACATTTCCCCCATAAATATTTATTCTAACCCCCAATGCTCTCATCAATAAACCAACACTCTTAGTGATGTAAGACTAAAGTCATTAAGTTAACGGAAAACATGAACTAACTGTAAAGCACCTTTAGGCATCTGTTCCAAATTCCAACTTTCTATCAGTCCTTGTTCAAACTCTCATGCTGCAACTCGATTCTCACTTGGGAACCGAAATGACATTCTTTTTTCCTTCAAATCAGTGAGACACATACACTCTATCTATGCCACTATAAAATGAATTGAAAGAGGCTGTGTGTCTAGTTAACAAGCAGATCTCATAATCACAAGATATGTTGGAATCTGCTCTGGCAGAGGGGAAAAAAAGATAACAAGCAAATCATTCATTTCTGCTGGAGGCTAAACTCCACTATAGGGCAATCCCCCTGCCCCCTTCAGTTTTACATATACACCATTACTTGTTTTACTCAAGCTCTTTCCCACAGCCATATAAAGGAGCAGCAGCTGCTGCTTCAAAAATGAGCAGTCAGATCAGTACCTAGGCAGCCTTATCACAAAACTAGTAGCAAATTTGGGGTTAGTCCTTGTGACAACCCCAGACCTACTGGGATATGCCACAGTTTCACTAAGCTGCCACCAACCATTCCCTGTAAGGAGTCACACAGACCAGGAATGGATTTTTAACCAATAAAGGAATAAGGTTTATTTAAAGAACGCACAGGGAAAAATAAAATGATCAAGTGAATAAGATACAGTAACGTGGCTTAGTCTCAAACATACATACACCAGTTTGGTTCACACAGAACACCTTTAGATAAAGCACAGACCCTGAACCTATCAGTTCTGGCTAACCATACAGACACCTGAACCTATCAGGTTGGTACTGACTGACACACAGTAGTACCCTGTCTGACACATAGACTCCCACACCAGCTTCTTCTCTCAGCTCTCCTCCAGCTTCTTTCTAACTTCTCCACACAGCCTCCACATATATATACAGTACTGCCCCTCCTCCTGATGTCCCGCCTTCCACTCCCCATAGGATGGAACTTTCCCTCCAAACCCATGACAGACAGGTAACATCAGTGCTGTATGTAACAGGTAACATCAGTAACAGGTAACATCAGTGCAGTCAGATCAGTACCTAGGCAGCCTTATCACAAAACTAGTAGCAAATTTGGGGTTAGTCCTATCTGATTGTTTACTGTCAAGCTTCTAAACACCGCAGCTCCTTCTTGTCTGGCTGGATGTAGGGAAAAACAACTGACATATTATAATCGGTTTTTCCCTCCTGAACAGACTTGACATGTGGCAACTTGCAAAAAGTACAAAACACCAGCAGGCCTTTTCACTTCTCTAGTTTGGCGCGCGCGCGCGCACACACACACACAGACACAGACAGACAGACACAGACAGACACACACACACACGAGAGGTAGTGATGCAACTGCTCTTGGACATCAGTTCAGACTGCAGGTGAGTCACATGATTGACCTCTCACCTGGGGAGGCAGAAGAACCGAATATAAACCTGGTATATTAGCCAGGTCAGCCCAAGAGAGCTTCTTGCCTGAAGCAAAGAACAGGATCCTCTCAGAGTGATCGGATAGACCAGATGGGTGGGATAGAAAATCAATCAATCAATCAATCAATCAATCAATCCTCATACCTCAATCCCACATGAAGAAGCCAACTAGGCTGGTAGTTCAGTAATACTTTAATACTGGTGCAGAGGCAATATAATTCCCAAAATTTGTAGGAGGTTGTTTACTGAAGATACCCCAGATAACTAGAATGAGGTGAGATTTGAGGACAAATATTTAGATATGTATCAGAGTGGGGGGAAAAACAATGTTTTTAATCAAATTGATTTAATTCACAATTTAAATTTAAAAAACAATGTTTTTATTTAAATCATTAAAATTGATTTTTAAATTTACATTGTGATTTAAATCAAATTCACCCTGCAATGGAATCCAACACTTTCCGTTGGCTCATTTTTTCCCCCCTTTCAGCTACAAACGAGTATCCATGTCTTAAATTATGCAAGGTCCTTTACAGACAACACAGTAAAATCTCTTAACTACTGTACTGCCTTGGAGGGGTGGGCAAACGGATTACACACTCCCCTCCCCAGCTTTCCAAAGCAAGTTACCTTCCCCCACTTTCACTTGCATCGAAATACTGCACCTGGAGCAAAGTTAACCATGGTCTGGGTTTACTTACTAAGCAATGACAGATAAGAACGAAACATTTTGAGGGTAAAAGGGTAGAAAAGCAAGATTTAAAAAACTCTCAAACAAATAATAAATGATGCACCTGCCCACCTCTCTTTGTTTACAGCCTTGGGGGTCTTCAATACAAATTGTGGCAGGGGATGAAGTTGGGCTTAATCCTTTGTCCTGTGTTGAAATTTAAAAAACAATGTTTTTATTTAAATAATTAAAATTGATTTTTTAATTTACATTGTGATTTAAATCAAAGTCACCCTGCAACGGAATCCAACACTTTCCGTTGGCTCGTTTTTTTTTCCTTTCAGCTACAAACGAGTATCAATGTCTTAAATAATGCAAGGTCCTTTACAGACAGCACAGTAAAATCTCTTAACTACTGCCTTGGAGGGGTGGGCAAACGGATTACACACTCCCCTCCCCAGCTTTCCAAAGCAAGTTACCTTCCCCCACTTTCACTTGCATCGAAATACTGCACCTGGAGCAAAGTTAACCATGGTCTGGGTTTACTTACTAAGCAATGACAGATAAGAACGAAACATTTTGAGGGTAAAAGGGTAGAAAAGCAAGATTTAAAAAACTCTCAAACAAATAATAAATGATGCACCTGCCCACCTCTCTTTGTTTACAGCCTTGGGGGTCTACAATACAAATTGTGGCAGGGGATGAAGTTGGGCTTAATCCTTTGTCCTGTGTTGTTTTCCTACAAAAACACCCCATCCCTCCAACTATCTGGTACGACTATAATAGCAGCTGGGGAGGGTCACTGGAAAAGCAGGGGAGGTTTAATCTCTTAGCCTCCTGATCTGGATTCCCACCCACCCCTCGTGCAGCTGTGTTTTGTAAACAAAGAGAGACAGCCAGTTTTTCATGTGATTTAAAAACAGAAGTTCAAATCATGTCTATTGTGATCCTCAGGGTGGCAGTTCAGCAGGTATTTGTCTAACAAACAGCTCAACTTGCAGTGCTCAGCCAGAGAAGCTAGGCCACTTGTAAACAAAGAGAGACAGCCAGTTTTTCATGTGATTTGAAAACAGAAGTTCAAATCATGTCTACTGTGATCCTCAGGGTGGCAGTTTAGCAGGCATTTGTCTAACAAACAGCTCAACTTACACTGCTCAGCCGAGAAGCTAGTAATTCAGCTGCTTTACAATGCCATATGGACCCCTATTGTCTCCCTGTTTCAATAGATCCCAAACTAGAGAGACAGCCAGTTTTTCATGTGATTTGAAAACAGAAGTTCAAATCATGTCTACTGTGATCCTCAGGGTGGCAGTTTAGCAGGCATTTGTCTAACAAACAGCTCAACTTACACTGCTCAGCCGAGAAGCTAGTAATTCAGCTGCTTTACAATGCCATATGGACCCCTATTGTCTCCCTGTTTCAATAGATCCCAAACTGGCTACAGGCACTAGTCCCAAGGTTCAGGCTACCTGCAGTGTTGGTGTTTTGACATGGTAGAGATCAAACCATCCATCCCCTTTCCTTAATGTGGTCAGAGGGTTTTACCCCACCCCAGGTAAAGACTTGCAGCAGCTAATATCCCTGTTCTGGCCAAACTGCTCAGCAAGTTAAGAGGGAGCTACAAACACATGCAGGTTTTATGAGTTATCTTCAAAGCTCATACAGTGGGGTCTTGACTTGAGAACTTAATCCGTATTGGAAGGCGGTTCTCAAGTCAAAAAGTTCTCAGGTCAAATCTGCATTTCCCATAGGAATGCATTGAAAACCATTTGATCCGTATCTGCTCTTTTCCGTCCATAGAAACTAATGGGAAGCTGCTATTCTGCCTTCGACCACTAGAGGGGGATATTTTGTTTCTTTTTTTCTTAGGTCAAGAAAGGTTCAGGGAAGGCAGGGAAAATACAGTCCAGGCAGTACCAGGCAGTCTGAAGACTCCCAATCCACTCTCTAAACGCTGGGAGGAGTGAGGAAGCAGACAGGCACCCTTTTCACTGGCCAACAGTTAACTGAAAGTTCAAATTTTGCACTTTCCCTGCCTCCCACGTGGTTTTTTTTAGTTCTTAACTCAAATCTAAGTATGTAAGTCAAGTCAATATTTTCCTATGAGAGTGGTTCTTAAGTCAAAATGTTCTTAACTCAAGCCGTTCTTAAGTCAAGACCCCACTGTATGCACTTCTCCCTTGAATTGCATGGATCTGAAGAGCAGTTTTAGTTACACATGTATTTTTAATAAATAATTAATTCAGTAAATAAATGAATATTCAATAAATATTTTGCTGCTATTCACCTCTGGGGGAGGGGCTTGGGCTTACCTAAGACCCTGTCGTTGGCAGTGTGGTGGCCCCCGGTCTAATGGCAGCAGCCCGTGTGGCCCCCTCTCCTGTCATGGTATCTCCATGGTCAGGGAGGGTGCTGGGGCATGCCAGGAAGCTGACACAGGTCGGGGGAAGTGTGTGTGATAATCAACTTTTTATGCTTTGTAGTTACCATATTTTCCGTGTGTAAAACAACACTTTTTCCTAAAATAGAGGGAAGATTGAGGGTCATTTCATACATGGAAGGAAGCAGTCATGCGCGCTCAGGCGCCTCTTGCTGCCACCACTGTTGCCCAATTGCCTCTTCCAGAGCTCATGGCTTGTCTCCTCCAGTGGTCCCGAGACAGCAGGAGGAGGAGGAGGCAGAGACGGAGGTGAAGGCCTCCGCCTGCTGCTGCCTCCCCCCCCCCGCCCACCCGATCACCACCTCCAGTGAGACTGATGGGCTCAGCTCAGTGGCTGCCTTGTCCCCACCCGTGGTGGAGACAGCAGGAGGCAGAGGCAAACAAGCACTCATGCACACTCAGGTACCTCTTCCTGCCTTGTTAGCAAAAAGGAAAGGGAGCAACGGCTCCCCTTCCTTTTTTGCTAAAGCCCTGCGCCCATCGCCTTTTAAGTAGGCATGGAAGTTAGCAAAAAGGAAAGGGAGCAAAGGGTCCCCTTCCTTTTTGCTAAGCTCCGAGCCTTCTCAAAAGGTGATGAAAAGCGGCAATTTTGCTAAGCTCTGTGCCTTCTCAAAAGGTGATAAAAAGCGGCAGTCACTTTGACAGCCGCTTTCCTTGCCTTTTGCCAAGGCACAGGGCTTAGCAAGAAGGGAGCCCTCTGATCCCTGCTTTTTCTAAATTTGGGTTAGAAAAAGGGGGGTTCATCTTATACTTTGGTCATCTTATACATGGAAAAATACAGTATGTTTTGGGGACATAAAAGAGTTATACACATATTTTGAATGACATGGGGGTCCAGTGCCCCCAACACCAGCATTGTTGAAGGGCAAATCATATACTAGTCAAAACACTGAAATATTAAGAGAGAGAACTCAGAATCATAGAGGCTTTTCAGTTTCGTCCCTCTCCATGGGTAGACCAACAGCAGTGGAAACAGAGGAGGCCAGGACTGCAGCACTCCACTCTACCTGTGGTGAGTAAATCCCATTTCTGAATAACTATAGAGTCTTCAGAAAACAGAGACTTTATATCAATGATGGGAGAGTCTATAAAACTCAGCGCTCAAACAATGCAGGCGTATTAGCTATTCATAGGAGCAGCAAAACGCCCTATCTTGATGAGGTCAAACCTCTTGGAACTCATCAGCAAACTATAGGGCTAGAAACAATGAAGCAACTAGAGTTCCAAGATGGTTGAGATTTTTAAATAAATGTTCTCTTACCAAGATCGGTTTTATAATTGAAAAATGTGGCATACTCATGCCGCTTTAAATAAACTGTAGTACTTGAAGGGCTGAATCTAAACAAATCATGCTGCTACCCATAAAGAGAACAGGGAGGAGAACAACACTTCCCCCACCCTTATAACCTAAAAGTCTGGTCAGGGGGACTGGAGAGACTCTTTGATGCAGGTTTTCAGATCACCTCAAGGGCAAGATGGGGAAGAATGGTCTCATTGCATCAACTGACCTCTAATATCAGAATGCTAGATTTAGGTTGAGTAAAAAAAGAAGAAAGAGAAAGAGAGAGAGAGAGAGAGAGAGAGAGAGAGAGAGAGAGGGAGAGGTGTAATTCAGCTCCATTTTCAAGTGGGAAAAGAAGACAGCAATTGACAGAAAACAAAAAATCTTGCTCCTTATTTGGGAACAGTGATAGGCACATAATGGCTGAAATCCTGTTGTGTGGCTTTACTC